TGGGGGGTCCCGATTAACAATGTGCACATGACTTGCAGTTGTTCCCAGATGATTTATTTTTGCAGAAGATAACAACCCGATCTCGTGAGTTTCAAAGTCCGGCTCTCCTTAAACAAACGTGGGACAGAACGCCTTCACAGTTGGACGCATTGATGGCTTGAACGCTAGATCTAGCGCTAACCTGTACTACACTGTCAGCAGAAGTATTCACTCATTCAGATTGCGTGCTCGGATTACCAAATAGCACTTCAAGACACGAACTTCTTTCCCCGGTGTTTTTTGTTCTAAAATCTATTTTTTTTTTTAAAACAACAACCACCAGCCTTAATTTTTTTTTCTACGGGGATACGACATTGAAGTTTTAATTTTAGTTTCAGTAAAAGTTTGTTTATTGTTGTTGTTCTTCAGTTTTGGTAAGTGTTTTGCGGCGCTCGCAACTGCATAAGGTCATATGAGGGCGTGGGAGAAAGAGTTTTACTGCATTGGCAATACAATAAGGTCGTATAAGTGCCCAATATTAGACGAAGAAAATAATTTTTTTAAAAGAGGGAGGAAAGATGAGGGCGATACATTTTGATAGGAAAGAAGGAGCAAACCACACAATAGCACGCTCCAAACACCCATCCAAATTGAATGTATCACATCTATTTTAAAACAATTATTTTGTTTTATCCTGCCAGAATACATATATCAAAACAATTTATTATACAGACACATATAAAAATTGAAAATAAAAGGTTTATTTTAATTTCTGTTAGGTTAGAGAGAGGCACGTGGAGCGGAAATCCGAAATGACTACATTTTGTACACACTTTATATTCATGCGACCATCTCAAAATGTTTTTTTTAAATAAGCAAATAGTTAGGTGTCAACTACTGTGGATGCTATCGGTCATGAGTTTATATAGTTTTAGCAAGAATTTAAGGAACTTTCAGAACAAATAGATCGTAATATAAGTGAATACTAAAAAAAAATTACGTACCTGTAGCGAAAAACGGAAATCCAAATCTAAATCTGTGTCAAGAGATCCGCCGTTGGGGAGTGTAATCTCGTCTGATCGTGCCACTCTTTTGGAATTCTGAAACAAGAGAGACGGTACAAAATCTATCAGCACAAGTTAATGAGCACACTTGTCCATCACACGCTGCCATGTTGCAAAAAATGGAAAGCGAAAAAAGTCTTTGAATGTTGAGTAAAGAGAAGTATATCGAAACAATAAAAGTAATTTAGAGCAGGAAAAAAGTAAGATAGACAGACAGGATCAACGGAGGGATAGAACAGAAAGCAGATCAAACAGTGGCACCATCCAACTACCAGTTGTTTGTCCTGACCAGTGAACTCAAAGCCCGTCTCTTTCATTAACTACATTGTGCAGACGAGGGTGCAAACATTTAC